AAAACAACGTGGTAGTGACACAAAACAGACTTTCTTTGTCACAATAAGACAGGATAGACAGAATAGAGGATGTAGAAATAACCGCAGACACTTTCATCTTTATGTTCTTCGGCAAAAGGGTAAAAAACTTATGCAGGAAGAAAGATAGCCTCTTTAAGAAATGGTGCTGTGAAAACTGGTTATGCATATGCAAAAGACTGGATCTAGACCCATATCCGTCACCATGTACAAAAAGAAAAGAAAGTATATCAGAATGTAAATGTTTTGTTAAAATGAAAACACTTAATCTGCTGGAAGATAAAATATGAAAGTCTTCAAGATATATGGAAATATATCAAGGCACATGCAAAGCTTTTTCTGGACAGAACTCCAATTGCATAAGTTACTTATGTTTTCTACTGTATAAAAATGAACATTTTATTTCTTATGCCTTCTATTACATAACAAACAATGCCAAGAATCAACAAATGGAATTGTATCATATTGAAAAATTTCTGCACAGCAAAGAAGAGAGGCAATAGAGTGAAGAGATAGCATACAAAATGGGCAAATCATTTTAGCAGCTTATCAGTAAGCAAAGGACTCATGTCTGGAATACATAAAAGACCCCAAAATAAGATCTCTCCAATAAACAACCAGTGAAAAAATTGGGCAATTGAAATGAATAGACACTTCTCAGAAGATGTATAAATGGCCAACAAATATATGGAAAAATGTTTAGTATCTATGGGCATTAAAGAAATGTATATTAGTTCCACAGCTCAGAAAACTTCCTCATGGATTTTTGGGCTATTTACTTCCTTTCACTGAGCCTGGTAGAGTCCAGTTAGTGTGAAAACTGTTCCTCTGTAGCCTGGTTATATTTATTTACTTACAGTAATACCTCAGCTCACAAACACATCTGTTCAGAAACAAGCTGCTTTGGAAATATAAATGTTTGACAAAATTTTCTTCCTTTTATGAACTCCACATCAGGTGATGAACATGACCATAGCCATCCTCCCTCATGAGCACCACAACAGCCATCTTCTCCAGAATTGGGAAACGATTTACATTCATGAACCAAAGTACCACTATGTTTATCTATCTATATGTTATTAGTACATGTGTGTAGTACTTAATGTTTACATTCTTTGTGGGAAATTGTTACATATACATACATCCTGATTACTTCTTTCATTCCCTATAGGTTAGAAACTTCCTGTGAGGCTTTCATAACATGGATGCAGGTCTATAGCAGATTATTTATGCTGGAAAATTTTGTTATGTTACTGTGTAGGATAACAGGAATTTTCTGCACATATGTGACATTTTAAAATGCAATTTTGTAAACTCTCTTTGATAGCTGTATGATATGCTATTATTCTTGGAAACTAAAGCAAAGTAATGAACTACTTTTTAATTAAAATTTACTTCCAATAAGAGGCCATTAGAAATCCAGTTACATATCAGAATCCAATAAAGAAAAGACGTGTTAAGACTTCTCGGAGGACTTTTGTTAACTCACAGTTATTAACTCAAAGTTCCACAGATCAATATTTACACAAAGAATTTTATTATTGTAAAATTTGGAAGTTCGACATGCATGCGCTTGGTCAATATGACCTGTATTAAGGCTTTACAAGCTTTCTTGCTTCTTCTATCATTTTAGCAGTAGTAGGAGGCTTTCTCTGGCTGCCAGGCTGCAGAAACTTCTTCACATTGGGCAGGTTACTAATTCTGGTTTTCAGGGCCTGCAACACACAAATCAAAGTCTCGGTGGTGGATCTTAA